AGAGGCAGAGTCTGTGAGGGAAGGAGTTTCTTCAGATTCTGTGTACGTTAACTTGTTAGAAGATAGAAATCTGGGTTTGAAACCTGCTCAGTGCCCCACAGGAAGGAGCACTAAGGCCTAAGCACTAAGAGATGGTGTCCTAGACCCCACTGCAATCCCTGGTGACTCTTAATGTCATTTAGTGCCATCGTGAAAAGAGTGATTTTTGATGTTTCATTCTAGTGACTATGAAATCTGAACTGAGAGTGTTTAAAGGCTCTAGTTCTGAAACTGATCAGCTGTTCAGCCTACTTTGCAGGAATCAAAAGAACTGTCAGGATTATTAGAGGTGTGCCTGTCGCAGCCGGTGCTTGTAATACAGAGTTTATGTGGATCAGCGACGCCTGAGCAGAAACCGTGTGTCTGAGTGGGTGTTGCTGGAATAGAAATGTTTTCTCTAATTCTGGTGTACGATGCATCAGCAGACACAGTAACTGTGTCTCTCCTGAAAACATTCCTGGTTTGCTGATTACAGGGAGACTGCTGTCCCTCTTGAAGGTAAGGAAGCTACATTTAGGAAACAGGTAACTTGGTAATCGTGGGTTTCACCCACTTTCTGTCTCCAGCTGAAATGTATTTTGAGTTTTCTTCTCCAGATTAAAAATATTCTAACATCAATTGAACCAACATTTTAATTTATCAAGTGCACAAGATTTTATATTTTAGTGATTTCATTTTCTATATGTGTATGATATGTTAATATCTCCCACAAATTTGAATTAACTGCTAATCCTTTGACTTGATTTATGTATCAACTAACTGATAAGTATCCAGAGTGAAAATAGTAATGATTTTGTTTAAATAGTACTCTCCACTATTTATGTGGTATAGTGTTTCATATCCCATAGTTCAGGGCACCATCTAAGATTGTTCCATAATACCTATGGTTGTTATCCTTGTCAGGTGCCATCGAGTCAGTTCTAACCCATAGGAACCCTGTGCACAACCGAAGGAAACCCTGCCCAGGCCTGCCTCCATCTCACAATTGTGGTTACACGTGAGCCCATTACTGCTGCCTCTGTGCCTATCCGTATCTGTGATGTTGTTGTTATTGTGAAGGGCCGTCGAGTCAGTTCTGCCTCATAGCGACCCTGTATGGGGTTTCCGAGGAACAGCTGGTGAGTTTGAACTGCCGACCTTGTGGTTCAAACCGACCTTGAGGTCGAGTGTTTATCCTCCTACGCCACACCAGGACTCCTGATAGTTTAGTGTCTGGCGCAGAGGCAAATGAAGCTTTCTGGTTCCATCCTAATATCAAGCCAGCTTTAGATTTCATGACATTCAACCTAGCCACAATACCGGTTCCTATAGTATTGTACTGCAATCAGTCAGCGCATTGATGTTTCATTAGGACCTTTAAAGCTTTCTTCATAATTGATATAGGCCTATGGAATTAATTTTACATACCAATGGAAACTTGTTACAGCCAATACTAGAAATTAAATCATTACCAGTGCTAAAGAAAATGGCCTGGCATCAACACAGAACTAGAATCCTAACTAAGTAACTTGGTTGGTTCTTAAATGCACCAGTTTTGCAACCGACTCAGTCATGTTCAACTCCCCAATTTGCTTCTCACCAGCACCAAAATTTTAGTCCAATCATTTACCATCTCTGTGCCTAAGGTCTCCTTTTGTCTATAATGAAATCATAGTGGTGCCTATCTCATAGACTGAAGAAAGGAGTTACTACATATATACACGGTCCACGTAACATACATTGCAAGTAGTCTTAACGGTGCCTGGGACCGTAATGGTTACGAATCCAGCTGCGAACCGCAAGGTCAACAGTTCGAAACTACCAGTTGTTCCACAGGAGAAAGATGAGGCTTTCTGTTCCTGTAAAGATTTACAGCCTCGGAAACCCTGTACAGGGTCACTATGGGTCGGAACCGACTCCACGGCACATAACCTCTACCACCACCAAGTCCCTTTTTTTTCCTTTTTTCTGTAAGTGTCTTCCATAGGCATTCAGTAAAAGAAAGCTTATCCCAAAAATGTCAAAGGTCCCTATGGAGAGCTCAAGGACAAATCTGTGACTGTTTCTGGTAATTAGCACCTGGGGAAATTCTGTATTCAGAAAACCTGTCTGCACTTCAGGCCTGTTACAGGGAGGTCAAGATTTCAGTTCTGTGGGGAGGTAAGGTCAGGGGTCACAACCGGAATCTCCACGTCTGACTGTCTCTGACTGAGCCCACAGCCCAGAAGCGGGAAGGAGTTGTCAGTAGTTCCTATTTCAAGCTGAGAAGGAATGAGGATTGTCAGGAGTCTGACAAAGAACAGAAAACAGGTTTCTCTTGAGTGTGAACCTAGATAATACCAAATCCCATTTGGGAGGAAGCTGAAGACACAAGCTGAGCTAGAACACAGTGTTAGGGGTCCTAGAGCCCACCCAGTCTCTGAAGTCTTCTAAGAAACATTGTACTTGTTATGTTATTAAGTGCCGTTGAGTCAGTTCTGACCCATAGCAACCCTGTATAGGATTTCCAAGGAGCAACTGGTGGGTTTGAACTGTCCATCTTGTGGTTAGCAGAGAAGTGCTTACCCCAGAGTGCCACACCATGACGCCTAAGATGTATTAGTCTCATTCTTAATGACAGTTATTATTGGGGTTCCATCCAGGGGTGATGAAGCCTGATTTGTGAGGTGCTTAATAGGTACCTGGGTCATACAAGTGACCCTAAAGTAAACAAAACTGTGACAGTTCAAACCCAACAAGCAGTACCAAAGAACAAAGGGCTGGCAGGCAGCTTCTGAAATAGTGTTGTTGTTGTTGTTGTTGTTAGGGGCCATCGAGTCGGTACCGACCCATAGCGACCTTATGCACAGCAGAATGAAACACTGCCTGATCTTGGGCCAACCTCACTATTGTTGCCAAACTTCAGTCCATTGATGCTGCCACTTGGCCAGTCCACCTCACTGGGGGCCTTCCTCTTTTTCTCGGACCCTCCACCTTACCAAACATGATCTCCTTCTCCAGCGACTGGTTCCTCCTGACAATACATCTGAAGCCTGACCTAAGCCATGGTATTTTCAATAAGCTCATATGCATGAGAAAGCTGAATAAGGAATACACTGAAGAATGGATGCTTTTGAGTTATGGTGTTGGAGGAGAATACTGAAAGTGCCATGAGCTGCCAAAAGAACCAACAGCTCTGTGTTGGAAGAAGTGCAGCCAGAGTGCTCCTTGGAGGCCAGGATGTCCAGACATCGTCTCACATACTTCGGACATCTTGTCAGGAGGAACCAGTCACTAGAGAAGGATATCATGTTTGGTAAGGTGGAGGGTCAGAGAAAAAGAGGAAGCCCCCCAGAGAGATGGATTGGGAAAGTGGCAGCATCAATGGGCTCAAGAGTGGCAACAATTGTGAGGTTGGCCCAGGACCGGGCAGTGTTTTGTTCTGTTGTACATAGGGTCGCTACGAGTCGGTACTGACTCGATGGCACCTAACAACAACAACTCTCTAGCCAACAGATTAACCGCCCCACCCCCCACCTTCCTTCCCACCCCTGGTAACCATCAAAGAACATTTCTTTAAGTGTGAAAACCTTTTCTTGACTTTTTACAATACTGGTCTCATACATTATTTGTAGAAGGACTGTAATTCAGAAATCACTTGGTTGTTGAGATGGTAAGTGAAATCATAGACAAGCGTTCCAAATGACTAGACATGAAGTGAGCCTTGTGTGTCTGCAGTAGACACACATGAGCCTTCAGCAATCATCTAATCATGTGTAAAATCTGCATATCAGTGACAATTGGGAGGACCAGAGTATCTTCTCTAACTGTGCATTGATGACGACTTCGAGGAGACAGTAATTGCATCTTGACTGAAAACAAAATGGCCTGTTGCTATGAAGAGGCTGACGTCCTGGTTGAAGTTAGGGAACTTGCATTCCCGGGAAAGGCCACCTTAGAGTGCGAGGGTCAGAGGGCAGCTGTGAGGCTCACAGGTGATAAGGTTTTTGGTAGCGTTTTCACTGGTTACAAATAGTCTGATATTAATCAAAACCATTGAATATTTCATTTCATAAAATGCTCAAGAGTGCATGCCCTTCAGATTTCACTTAACAAATGTGTTTGCATTTTAATATCTTCCACAAGTCTCACCTCATTTTTAGTAGTTTTACTGAACCCAGATATTAATAAGTAGATAATGATATAATTTGAAATGGGTCCTAATTCCGTTTCTACTGTACACTGTTTTCTGCATTAATGTTTCGTGTTCCATAGTTTAGAACATGAACCAAGAATATCCAGTAATTCCTATGATACAGTAAATCCCTGGTACTTTTGTCCTTGACTTTGCCTTGTTCACCAAATATTGAGCCATTGTTACACTTACCAAGTTGTCCTGAGGCAGGTTTCTGTAGTATTATGCTGCAAGCTGTGCCTTAAATAAAATGTCTGAAGCTTTACTTATTGTGGATATTGGATTACGGAATAAATGTGTACACATAAATGCAATCTTGTTACCAGCCATTGGGAAATCAAATATTACCAATCTATAATCAAAGGACAAAGTGTGAAGACACAGCTAACTTTTATTGGAAGCACACAGCAGATTGGCTTTATAAGACAGCATCATGGCTACATGCATGGTTTTTGTTATCATCCCAGACAGTTTCAAGTGCACTTTCTGCACCTAAAGAGCAGGTGTATTTCAACAAACGTCTTCACTTCTCTTTGTCTAACCCCACCCTCCCACAGCCTACTTTAGAATGGGAGTAATAGTATTTCCTGTCTCATAGGTCTGGGAAGAGTAAAGAAGCTAATACTTGTGAAGTCTTCATAGCGGTGATTTCTACATTGTAAGTATCCGCTAAAGTTTATTTTCTTCAACTCTACAAGTTGTAATTAATGATAGGTAGAGAATACAGCACTTCAGTTAACATGATACAGGTGGTCTGTGTCTCATCTTCCCATGCAGGACCCTCTGGCTCTGTAGAGAAATCCCAGAAATGGCCTCCAGAAGTCTGACAATGGGGATCATCTTCTTGTCACAGACTCTACTTGGTATCCTGGGGAATTGTTCTCTTCTTTTCCATTATGTCTTCACTAAATGCAGATTGCGGTCCACACACTTGATTCTCAAGCACCTGACTGTGGCCAATTGCCTGGTCCTTCTCTCTAAAGGAATCCCCCAGACCATGGCAGCTTTTGGATGGAAGGATTTCCTCAATGATTTTGAATGCAAGCTTGTGTTCTATGTTCACAGAATGAGCAGAGGGTTGTCCATCAGCACCGCCTGCCTTTTGAGCATCTTCCAGGTCATCATCATCAGCTCTGGAAACTCCAGGTGGGCAGAGCTGAAGGTGAAAGGTCCCAAGTATGTTGCCTTCTCCATATTTCTTTGCTGGATTCTCCATATGCTGATAAATGTCATTATTCCTATATATGTGACTATCAAGGGGAGCAATAAAACCATCGCAAAGATAAAAGATTTGGTCATCTGTTCTACTCAAGCCTATCACAAAACCACAACTTCACTGTTTGCCGCATTGATAACCTTCCCTGATGCTGTGTGTTTGGGGCTCATGATCTGTACCAGCGGCTCCATAATTTTCATCCTGTACAGACACCAACAGCGGGTCCAACACATTCATAGTAATCACATCTCCCCAAGATTCTCCCCTGAGATCAGAGCCACCCAAACCATCCTTGTCTTCCTAAGCACCTTTGTATCTTTTTACAGCCTCTCCTCCATCCTGCAGATTTATATGGCCCTCTTTAGGAATTCAAATTGGTGGCTGGTGAACATGTCTGCTCTGAGTGCTGCGTGTTTTCCAACAGTCAGCCCCTATGTCCTCATGAGCACGGAATTCGGTGTCTCCAGGTTCTGCTTTGCCTCGATACAAAATACAAAACTTCCTCATCTAACTAGAAATATGTAAAGTGTATGGTTATTCACAAGACTCAACTGTTTGTTGACTCGTCACACAGAATCCATATGAAGCAATCCTATGGCAAGAGACTTGTGCCATACTGACACCAATGCTTATATTGTATATGTGGAAATGTGTGTGGCTATGTACATTTATGAGCCAGGTGAATTTCTAATTCTTCCAGCAATCATTTGAAAAATTGCACAGTCAGAAATGTAAAAGGATTACTAATCACAATAATGAATAACTTTTTTAACCCTAAAATCAGTTTTAATTGACAGGTATAAAGTCATACTAGCTAGTCGGTTGGTTACAATGATACAGAATGCATTTTCTACTTCAATCTTTGTGTTCTTGCTGTATTGTGTATTCCTTTTAAAATAACCAGTTAAATATAGTCAAGTACTATTTGACTTTGCCAGGAATTCCACATGTGTGTTTATGTTGAAGATTTATGTTAATGGATTTGAGATCAGATTTATCAACTCATTTTTGTTTCTTTCATGCCACCTGCTGTTTTCATATCTTTAAAATCTCCTTCCAGTATCTTTTTTAAAAAAATTCTTATACATTTTACTGTGGAAGTTGAATATTAATTTTCTCTTAGATTTTCACCTAGAAATTATAGCATACTTTGAAAAACTGATCACAGTGTCAAAGTATTTAACCTCCAGCTTGACAATACATATAATGGCAACAGGACAGCACTAACCTATTCACCTTCCGTCAGTCTTAAACACAAATTTCTGGAACAAAATTAAAATATTTAAATGCATATTAAATGTCAAAAGTACAGTGGTACGATATTTAAAATACATAAAAGTTGCCTCCTCGTACCACCTCCCAAAGGTAACCACTATTTTGACGCCTCAAAGCATGTTGTTGTTGTTGTTGTTGTTGTTGTTAAGAGCCTTCAAGTCAGTTCTGACTCATAACGACCCTGTATAGGGTTTCCAAGGAGCAGATGGTGACTTTGAACCAACAGCCTTGCACTTCAAACCAACCTGGCGGTCCAGTGCCTTATCCCACAGCACCACCCCAGGACTTTTAAATTCTTGTGGATTGTATATACATGAAATTATAAATAAGACTTCTTTTGTGTTTTGTTTTTTAAATACTATATATTGTTTTGAATTTATCTATATTTTCCCCTTTTATTATTGTGGTAAATAGATGAGTAGCAAAACACTTGCCATTTCATCAAACTTCACATGTGTAATTCAGTGACATGAAATATGTACAGGGTATACAACATTACTATTAACTAACTGCTCCCCAGTGTTTCTAATCCCTTCACAGAAGCTCAATGTCACCTAGACATTGTGTCTTCTTTTACTCCTCCCTCCTGTGTGCCAATGGTACCTCCTAATAAACGTTGATCTCTCTACAGTTGCTTGCTGAAGATACTTTGCATAAAGTGGGACGGTACAGTATTTGTCATTCTGTGACTGACATTTCCCTCTGAACCGTGTCTTCAAGGCTCACCTATGGTGTATCTTATATAAGAAGCTCAGAGAGCTGCAGCTGAGTCATCTATATTCTGGCATTTGGTTGTGGATCATTCATCAGCATCAGCGATGAATTCAAGTGTGTGGATTACATACAATTCATTTAGTCATTCCACTGTTGATCACATGTGGGTGTTTTTCAGTTTGAGGTGACTAGGAAGAGTGCTAGTATGTGAATTCTGTAAAATGTTTTGGCAACACAGCTACAAATCTGTTGGGTATGTGTAGACTTGTTCTTGGGTAATATGTTTGTATCCCTTCTTTGTCAAGAGATGCTACCAAATAGTTCCCTAAAAGGTTTGTACTAATTTTAATACCCTCCAGAGTGTAAGCATTTTCTGATGTAAAAACATCTTTGTCAACACTTATCATTTTCCACCATTTTCTCTTGGTCTCCTTTTTTATACATTTGAGTTATGATGTTGGAAGAAAATATTAAAAGTAGCATGGACCATCAAAAGAACAAACAAAATCTGTGTTGGAGGAAGTATAGCCAGACTGCCCCTTAGAAGCCAAGATGGCCAGACTTCATCCCTCACATTTCAGACATATTATCAGGAGGGACAAGTCCCTGGAGAAGAGCATCATGCTTGCTAAAGTGGAGGGTCAGCAAAAAAGAGGAAGACCCCTAATGAGATGGACTGGCATATTGGCAGCAACAACTAAGAGGTTGGTACGAGACCAGGCAGTGTTTTATTCTGTTGTGCACAAGGTTGCTATGAGTCAGTACTGACCTGACAGCACCTAACAACAACATCAGGTAGTGGGATGTTGCTGCCTTGTTTCACAACAGTTGACATGAGCGGTCCATTTAGTGCCTGGCTCAGTACCACAGGTGCTGCCCATCCTGAGAAACCCTCCAGGAGGCCTGGGTCAGGACCACTGCCCATGTGTAGGTCACAGTTCAGAGGCATACCAAATGTGTAGAGGAAGAAGTTCTGAAGTACAAGGGACAACCGCTGTTGCTTCCTGGGCATCTCTTTGATACTCCTGAAATGAGGTCATACAGGACAAGGAGCAGCTGTCCCAGTGGGTGATGTGTGGGGACATGGGGCCAGCAGCAGCCACTGGAGGGGGTCCAGGAAATGTGTTCTGGGGATCGTGGAGGCCACCGGCTGTATAGCAAACCCCTGCTGCCGTCAGCCTCAGCAACAGGGCTAACCCCTGGCAGGTGGAGAGGGCGATGCTGGAGGCAGAGGTGATAGAATAGAGCTGTGCTTCTCATCTGGAGAGTGCTCGGCACCTGACCACCAAGTAACATTGCAGCATTGAAGGTAGATCACCACATTGTTGTTCACACCATAGAGTAGGGCTGATAGTGCAAAGGGGGCAGCCTGGCACCAGGATGGGGGCCCCTGTGGCTAGGTTTGCCATCCCAGCAGGAATGGAAAAGTGCACAACAGCAGCTTGGTCAACTCAGTCAAGGGCATGGCTGAAGAGAGCTGGAAGGGCACTCGACCATCTGCATGGCACAGTGCCAGCCAAGGGGCATGGGCACCATACATGGCAGGAGGCAGTAGTAGCATCAGCATCCAGCAGGCCTGCCTGGGGCAGCCCAGGCCTGACAAACCCCCATCCTCTACACTCATGTCCACACCAGATCCCAGGTGGCCTCTGTAGTGAGGGGCAGCAGGAAGGTTGTAACTTATCAGAAGAAACTCAAGCTGTGGAGTCAGCTCCCGGGAGGGAGGCACTGTGGTGCGTTTCCAGAGAACACTGAAGATCTGAATCACCAACAGACTCCACAGTCAGAACTGGAAGAGGAATGAGCGGGTGGCCCTTGAAGCCACAGTCTCAGAGCCAGTTCCATGGGTCAGGGAGGAAAGAAAGAATCCATGGGGTAGGCTGACTGGCTACTGTCCACCCTCTGCAGGAAGGGAATCAAGGAGGCAGGAAGGATGGACACAGCAAATGGATGACACACAGAGAAGTGAGATATGGTATCTGTGATCCAAAGGTCTTCATCTCCACCCAGAGGACCCTGTTTCTTATCCTGTCTCGCCCATGGGATCCAGAGCTAGTCGGGCCCCTTGCATAGTGACTGTAGATAGTCTCTCAATATCTTCTCCACAATGGGCACAGCATATGCCTGGGATGTAGATGCTAATGCAAATGCCCACAACAAAGCCCAATACTGCTGATGCCCTTAGTTTTGCTACTACATAACTGGCCAGAGAGCCTTTGAGGAATGGAGAGGATACAAGTGAACCCTCCTGGCCCATACCACTGCTGAGGCCAACTGCTGTATCCGACAATTGGATATGACCTGAGCAGAGAGATTAAGCACCCGAGTAGAGGCAAAAGGAGATGAGAAATAAAAGGATGACACAAGACACAAGTGAAATAAGAAAAGTTGAGACCAGGTGGGACGCAGCACTCTGATGGAGCTACTTACTGCAACACCAACCAAGGCAGCGAGTTTATTACATACACAGCTCAAGGGGAGGTGCTTGAGGGAGGGTAAGGAGAACAAGAACATCTTGTACTGAAGGTGCCAGCAGCAAGCAGAACTTTATCAGTAAAACTGTAATTTGTGGTAGCTAGCTAGAACACTGTTTAGGGCAGCTAGAATGTTGTGCAGGCTGAGCTGAAGGACATAGCTAAATACAAGGAAAGACCTTGCAAGTTCTCTGTCCCTTGAGGCAGCCCTGCAAGTTCCTCAGGGGCAGGGCTTGACTTGGAAGCAGCCCGAGTTTCTGGACCACAACTGTTCAGTTGCAATCCTTCAGTTAAACTACCCCCAAGTTAGGGATCTTCGGCTCAGCTGCTCCCAACATGCCACTGCTTACTTAGTCTTCTCACACCACTGCAAGTGCTCCCTCTGATTCTTGAGAAATGCAGACCCTTCAGCTTGGGCACAGAATCCTTGTCATCTGCCATCTTCATTTTCCTCGTTTTCACTGACCCTCTACTTTACCAAGCAGAATGCCTTTCTCCAGGGACTGGTCCATCCTGATAACATGTCCAAAGTATGAGAAACAAAGGTTTGCCATCCGGTTTCTTAAGAGCATTCTGGTTGCATTTCTTCCAATATAGATTTGTTTGTTCTTCTGGCCATCCATGACAAGTTCAATATTCTTCTGCAACACAATAACTCAAATGCATCAATTCTTCTATGGTCTGTATTCACTCCCTGACAACCAGCGATGGCCAGTCTTTATCTGCAGCCTGACCCCTTCCTGGAACTAAAATAGAAACTTCCAGTTAATCTATTGTACAACTCAACTTGAAAGTCTAGGACCCATGCTAAGATTACCAAGTCAATTAAACACCCAAAAAAAAAGACCAAACCATTTGGTATTGCGTCAACTGACTGATGTGTTTTAGAGTAGAACAGTGCTCCATAGGGTTTTAAGTGACTGTCCTGGTATGGTGCTGTGGGTTAATGCATCAGACTTGCAGCCATTTGAACTGCCAGGTCAGCAGTTCACGCTCACCAGCTGCTCCTTGGAAACCCTATACAGGGTTGCTATGGGTCAGAACCGACTCTACGGCACTTCA